ATCTCAGAAGCACGTTGCTGGAAGACTGCACTTTCCCACACATGGTGCGCTATAATGTATTGCTGGGATTTGTATTTCTCTATAGCTGATGGTACATTGTGCTGTACTGTATATTATGCAGAGCAATGTACCATCAGCTAAAGAGGAATACAAATCCCAGCAATACATTATACACTGTATGTATAATGTATTGATGGGATTTGTTGTACTCCTCTATAGCTGGTGATATTCTGCATTGCGCTGTATAGAGGACTACAAGTCCCAGAAATAATACATTATACAGCGCAATGCAGAATACCACCAGCTGTAGAAGAGGAGTACAACAAATCCCAGCAATAATACATTATAAAGTGGTACAATGCTAAATACCACCAGCTATAGAGGACTACAAAACCCAGCAATAGTACATTATACAGCGCAATGCAGAATGCCGCCAGCTATTATGTACTATTGCTGGGATTTGTTGTATTCCTCTATTGCTGATGGTATTCTGCATTGTGCTGTATAATGTACTATTGCTGGGTTTTGTAGTCCTCTATAGCAGTTGCCATTCTGCATGCATTGCTGTATAATTTTACACTTTCCATTTCACTATATTGCACACCACACGATCTTTTTTTCTTTTTTACTTCCACCGGTCCAAGCTTGCTCCTGTGATGGACTACAACCTTAATACAAACTAGTAGTCCTATCACTGGAGCCATTTTTTAAACTTTATTTTATAGTTTATCCGATTAATCGAACTTAATAATCGGCTAACTAATCGATTTTGAAAATAATCGTTAGCTGCAGCTCTACTACTCCAGCAAGTCAATTCCCTTGTACACAGGGCCAGATTTCCCACAAGGCCAACCAAGGCGCAGCCTCGGGGCGGCAGTGGTGTGGAATTTCTATCTCTCGACGCCTGGGATATGCAGTTCCAGGATGTCGGGCTGGTAGTTGTTTTCTACATTTAGCCCTGCTTTGGGCAAGCAAAGCTAAAATGTACTGCGGGGACGCCCCT